ACACCCCGAAGCAGACTGAGCCCAAAGAGATCACAGCTCCAGTTTGGCCCACATGGACCAGATGCCGACCAGCAGCACCAAGTGCTGCAAGCATCCCGCAGGTCTGGGCTCCGCGGGCTCCGTGAAGGAGACAAGCCTGAACTGGATCCTATTCAAGACCAAGAATGGGCTTTGGGGCGGGGGTACATCCCTTATCTACTTTCTTCACATGCCGATCACTAAAAGTTAAACCTCCTGATATTTGAAGACCTCCCAGCTTTCTCCAGCCTCGAAACACCCAAGGGCGAGAGACAGAACAAACTAACAAAGCGGGTGCTGGAAACAGCAAGTTTGGGGCATGGTGTGCTCCTTCCCCGTGCAGCCCAGCCGTGCAAAGCTTGCAGCAGCTCCTCTCACCCCTCCGCTCATCCCTCTTTATTGCACTAAAGCAGCCGCTCACAAACCGTAATTCTGAGCTTTGGCATCTTTTGGTTGATGACGCTTCCCCACCAGTCTTTGGGTTCACACATGGGGATGGGGGAAAGCGAACTCAATGGGATTTTATGGGAATCTGAGAGTCCCAAAGAGCTTCCTCCCTATTCTTTGAGGTACTTGGCTGGCACCGAGATTTCTCAGGGACGAGTGGACAGCAGTCCAAGGACCACTTCTGCCCTTCCACCAGGAGGTTTGGGAGAGTTGGGATGGAAGGGAGACTCCACCTCAGTCCCCAGTGACCCCCCCCTACCAGTGCTGGGACTGACCACACGTTTGCCAGTAGGGAAGGAGGGGAGCAGGACCAAGGGAAGCCTTGGAGAAAGCAAGCACCAGTGGGAGCTCATGCGTGGACGGAGCTTTGGAGGTCTGGGTGGGAAGAGGAGGCTCCTGAATGGGGAACAGAGCGGGGGGAGCTCAGGTCCTGCTCAGTAGCTCCTGCCTCCTGCTCCTTTGGCACCTGACTCTCCCTTTCCGTGTCTAAATCTGCCCTAAATCTGCATGTTTCCTGGCAAAGGAGCCCACAACAGGTAGAGACACACAACACAGAGCAACGTTCCCTCGCAAAGCAGATCCATCCTTGTCAACTCACAGGGGTGCAGGGAAAACGGAGGACTCAACATGCGACTCTCCCAGAAGAAAACCAAAAAGACACGTCAGGACAGAGAGAAACCCAAACTGCCGGGACAAGCAGCTGCAAACAAACATCTGGAGCAGATGTTATCTGACTCATTACAGGGTGGGGCAGGAAAGGGGCTCACAACCCCAACCAAAATTGGAGTCCTCTCTGCAGGGAAACCAAACTATCTGGCAGCCGGAGGTGGGGAGGGAGCAGGATGGATCTGGTCTGAAGATGTTAGGAAAAGCTCAGGAAAGAAACCACAATCGGAGGCTCCCCGCAGCCTTCCTGACACCAGATGAGCTCAGTGAACCATGAGCTGGCCTCCTCGGAGAGCTTTTGGCAAGTCCCGACCTGTCCTTTCTGCTGAGAGCAAGGAGTGGGAGCTCGCTGAGGGCCCCCCAGACGGGGTGGGAGGCGGGAACCCCACGTGAAGCCACCGACGAGCGGGGTGGGGGCCAACACCTCTGCACTCCTCTAGCCCATGCGGCTGCAAGGCTGGGATGTGGCTTTGCCCTCAGCGCAGTCAAACCAAAGCCTTGCGCTGGTCTGAGAGCGCTCAGCACCCATCCGGGGTTCTCCTCCTCCCCAATTCCCTCCTACGCGCCCCGTATTTCGTAAAATACATCTGGCGGGTTTGTCATTTCTTGGAGATGAGAGACATCCAAGAGACCTGGAGGGACGACTCAGCCCTGCACCCGGGCGATGGCACGATTCCCCGGTAGAAATGGGACTTCTGCACTGACCCAGAAAAAGCCCATTAGGTAGAAGGCTACTGGCAGGCATCCTGGCCTCCTACCAGCTACTGAAGGTAAATATGCTGCAATAGTAGTGCAAGGGCTCCGCCTCGCCGTGCTAGTGCCAAGCCAAACTGGCTCTGGGGAGCTGGGATGTGGACAACCATCTTCTCATCCTACAGCTCCAGCACCTGGGGGAGGTCACCCCGTGCTTGCATGACTTCGGAGGCTGTGAAAATGATGAAGCCTCACATGTTGAGTCATTCCACCATCAGGAGAGGAAGCAATGAATTGCAAAGATACAGAGGTGGTAACTAAATTTACAAGTAGGATCCATTTAAAAAAAGGAGGAGAAAAAAAAAAAAAATCAAAGTAGAGCAAGTTGGAAAATTCTGTTCATTAGTTTTCTTTAAAAAGTTTCAATGAACTCTTTCACATTCCCATTCAAGTGAGACAGTTCCTCAAATCCTCAGTGAAAAAGGGACCATTTTTCCCTAAAAAAGTTTGACATTTTTTAGGAATGAAGGAGTTTAATCAGCACCAATAGAAAAGTGAACCGAGTGTTCAAAAGGAAGGGTGCCTCTTGGTGGAAGTCTCTCCCCCCAGCATCGCTTGGAAGTAGGGAGCCAAGCAACTATTGGCATATGGATAAATATGTTCGCAGTATATTTTATAACTGCTGCCACAGAGACACGGACCGATCTTATGGGGGTACACGGACCTACGGGGCATGCTCTGAGAAGGGCGTTGCCTTGAAACCCAAGCGATTTCAGAGCCTGGCCTCAGAGGATGTGCAAACTGCACAGGCGCAGCCCTCTCCCGTCCGAATGCCGGGAGATCCCGACTGTAACCCAGAGCATCGTCCTGAATTCCCACAGCTTATGGGAGCAGGCTCTCCATCTTTGGCCAGAGGAAGCACCTCTCAACGCCCACCCCTCCAGGTGAAATCAGGGTGAGGATTTCGGTCAGGTCCGCAACGTGCCCCAGGCACAAACTTCCCACCAGGGATGGGATTCATCTCCCCGTCCACAGGAACCACAAGTTCAACGTTTGGGTCCCATTTGGGTCAAGGGAAACAGGCACCACCAGAACACAATCTAATGAATAATGTTTTCAAGCAGGATGAATCACTCTCTGGAACCGCTTTTCTCTGCGACAGAGGGAGCTTGGATCAGCTGCGATTTTTAGATAGCACATGTATGGAAAGAGGAATCCCATCGTGAGAGCCTACCTCCTGCCTCCCCCCACAGCCAGCACTAAATCTCACCCTCTCTCTGCAAAGCAGACACCCCCCCCAGGACAATCTGTAAACCTCCCTTTCCCCCCCTCTCCCGACTACCTAGGAACTAAAGGTCTGGGATTAGCAATAAACAGACTGGGAAATCATCTTCCAGCATGTGCAAGTGCACCAGGAAGCCAAACCTCGCACCTGGCACCATTCACAGCAGTATCGTGAATATTATTAGTAATAGACCTAGCCATCCTAACGTTATATTTATATATACAAAAATAGATCCACAGAACTCTACGCAAAGAGGTGGCGGAGGGAAGGGACGAGCCCTGGACAGCGGGGTCTTGGAGGAAGCCAAGGGACGTGTTGCATATATTTCTCCGGAGGAACCATTCGCTTCCCTCTGCGCTCACACACCTCGGAGGAGGGACAGGCGGGCAGAGCCGAGCCCTGGGACACCATCCCGGCTCCAAACTGCCCTGACCGATGCCAGCAGGGTCACAACTGAGAGCCGGCGCCGCACGCTTGCAAGAGGAGATGGGGCTGAGTCCAGGACCGGGAGGAACTCCCCGCAACCGTAGGGTTTGGCTTATCATCATCACAGCAAGTAAACCGTGCAGCCCTGACCCCCACCCAGATTTCCTTCTGGTCTGCAGACGGTCCAGCCCCAGGGCTTGGTTCGGACCCCTCTCCAGTTTGCCGCCGGCGTCTGCTGTTGCAGAATACCCTTCAGCAGCACCGGCAGGGCTTGCTTGCCGGCGCGACGCTGGTGTCGGCGTGACACGCCGGGGCGGGCAAGGAAAGCGAGGTGAGGATGCAAAGGCAGCTTCTGCAGGGAGGGAAGGTCAGGCTCCCGTCTTTCGACACCCCCTTCTGCTCTCTGCTTCCCTCCAGCCCAAAGCAGGAGCTGCAGAAGTCCCCAGGAGCGGTGCTAGTTGACACAAGAGCAGTGCGAGGGGCAGCTGTTGGCAGTTGTGTTTGGGGTGGTTTGGTTTTGGTTTGTTTTTTTTTTTTAAAGTGAATTCAGTGCTGGTGGAAGGTACCAGATCGGGGGCTCGAGCACGGAGCCGGTGCCTGTGGCATCTGCTCGGTGGTGGGGTGGAGCTGGGCAGCAGCTCCCATCCCGCCAGGGTTTGTGCTCTGGAGGCAGTCCTTCAAGGCATTGAGAAATGAATGGCAATTTCAAACCAGCTTCTTGTTCTCAGCCAAATCCCAGAGGGGACCTTTCCCTCGCTGCAGTCGGGCAGAAGCGAGTGGGCTGGGCTGCCTCCGATAGCTCCTTCCCCTGCCCGAAGGTTTCTAAAGCTTCCAACACCTTCCCTTCCTCTTTGAACGATGCCACCTCATTTTGAAGCTTGCTTGCTTCTCCCAGCAACTCCCAAGCCCAGAGGGAAGCCACTGCCACCGGTGGGACCCCACGGCACCCCGGTGCTTTGGGGAAAGCAGACCTACTGCCACGTGAGAGGAGAGAGACCACCCACAAAAAGTGCTGGAGAGAGAGAGAGAGGAAGAGAGGGAAGGAGGTCTGGCTCCTGGAGGACTCTTGCACAGGGGATGCGTCGACCTGCCTCTTCCCCGCATCGGGAAGGACCACACCGTGGGGCAGCGGCAGGTCCTCAAACCCTCTGAGAGCAGAGTCCAGAGGTGTCGTCCCCCCCCGCCCCGGGTTGCCCTTCCCCACGGGGAAGGGCCATGGAGGGCACCCGCAGCTCTCTGCCTCTCCCGCTCCCTCGCCGGGGTGTGCAAAACCGCCGTTCCCCCACCAGCTGGTCAGCCAGCCGCCTTCCTGCCGGACCGGGGGCCCCCCACTTCACCCATCCGGGAGGTGATGGCGGGCAGGGGGGGAGTGCTGCAGAGCAAAGGGGAGACGAAGGAGAAGGGGGATGGAGGGGAGAGGAGGAGGAGGAAGAGGAGTAAAGCCTGCTTCTCCTCCCCGGGAGGGTCATACCGGCTTATCCAGCGTCTTGGGGAAAGGCGTGCCGCTGGAGGAGGAGATCTTTCTGCAGACCGTGTTGGTGTGGCTCTGGCAGCGGCAGCCGGGTCGTTTCAGACCGTCGTAACCCCGCTGGCAAAGTTTGAGGCACCCCAGGGTAGGAAAGTAGCAGCAGAGGCAGGGCATGAGGAGAGAGAGGAAGCTCATGGCAGCCCAGCGGGCGCAGCAGGACCCCGGCCCGCAGGAGCAGGGGTCGTCGGCGCAGGTGTCCTCGTCGTCGGTGGAGCAGTGGTAGAAGAGACCCTTGACGCAGCAGAGGCAAGTCCCGTAGTCGAGGAGGCTCTCAAAAGTCTGTCGGGGGAGCAGAGGCGGCGCTGGTTGCAGAGCCAGCAGGAGGGCAGGCTGCGGGCGGCCGTGCAGCGGGCACACTTGCATCGCCCGCACTCCTCGCAGATGAAGAGGTGGCCGGTGTGGAGGGTGGGCTTCTCCGCCACCCCCTTCAGCGGCGATTCCTCCGGTTTCAGCTCGCCGGCCCGGGGCTGCGTCCGGATGAGGGAGTGCCCGGAGTGGGAAGGCGTGAGGCTGCTCAGGAGGCGCTGGTCGGAGGCGGTGGTGCTTTGGGAGACGGAGCTGGGTGGGGCTGCTGCAGAGGTGGCATCTGGTGCTGTTGGCTGTGGCTGCGGTGCAGGTCCTGGAAGGTGGAAGACACCAGGCGGTCCTGGGACCACTCTTGCTTGTGCGGTGGCTGCGACAGGGACGGGTTGGAGCGGGCTTGCTGGAAGCAGATGGCCGGTCTCTCCACGTAGTTGTTGCTGGCACGGATGGAGCGGATTTGGTCGATGGACAGGACCTGCTGGAAGTCCTCAGCGGGTGGGTCCATCGTCTCGTCACAGCTGAGTTCAGCCACACTGGAAGAGAGCTGCATTTCCAGGAGCGAGGAGACCCTGCGGCATCAGGGCACATCTAAAAATCCTAAAGGATGGGGCAGGAAGACAGAGAAAACATTTGGGTTACATTTTATAATGGATCCATACATACAAAGCAGGAAGCAAAGACTGGCTGGAGAGCTCCTAACGAAGGTATTTCCAACAACCAGACTCAAAGTACTCCTGTGCCTGGGGAGAGAGGCTGGACACGTCCAGAAAGCAAGGGCTGTAAGATCCGTCCCTTGAAACAGGTGGACACAGCATCTCCCCACACTTTTGACCTTCCCGCATCCTTCCAGAGGATTTCCCGTCCCCTTGCCAGCACTGATGGGCTCCATCTGTCCTCCCTCTCCTTCCCCAGGGGAAAGCGCCGGCCCTCTCTAGAGGAGGGGAAATTTGAAGTTGCGACTTAGCCAGAGCCGGTGACAGAGCTGGGAATGGCATCTCCTCCGGAGCAGGAGACTCTGTTTTGGGGCTTCCCAGCACTCCCCGCTCAGCATCCCGGTGCGGTACCTCGTACGCGCCCAGGGGCGCCGGGATAGAGGGGAACTGAACGCGTTTAATTTCAGGCGGCATCAGCAATAAATTGCAACTAATGAGACACACGCTCGGCCGGGGACACGCCAAGCCACAGACTCCCCGAGTCCCGGCGCTTCCCGCTGCAGCATCCTGTTTTCCCACGCGCGACCCAGTGACAGCCCAGGAATGAATTTATCCCCGTGAGGAACACCGAGGAGGGCGGGCTTCTCTTTAAGCCCGGCACAAACACAGGGTGAAGCAGGGAAAGCAGACTTTGCATCAGGCAAGCCCCGTCTTGTTCCTTGCAGCGATGCTGCCATGCTGTTCGCCGTCGTTTTCAGGAAATGGCACTTCCCCGAGTCTGCAGCGCTGGCAGCGGCGCCGGCTTTATCCAGAGGGAAGGTCAGGAGCATCCGAGGGCTGTGGGCAGGGAGCACCCCCGTGTCCCACAACTCCCCCCGCCTCATGGCATCAGCACCATCGCCAAAACCTCGGGGCTGCCAGACCCTGCCGCCGGCGTCTGGGTGAAGCCTCTGAGGGGCTGGGGCTGGGCGAGGAGAGGGGGCAG